TTCTTCTTCTTCTTCTTCTTCTTCTTCTTCTTCTTCTTCTTCTTCTTTCTTCTTCTTCTTCTTCATCATTGTCACATCATCTTCCTCCTCTTCTTCCTCCTTTACCTTTTCTTCTTTCTCCTCTTCCTCCTACTCCCTCATCTAACTGCATCTCTCTAATTCTCCTAGGCCTAATCCCAGCCCTGATCCCATTACTGACTATTATAGGACTTTTGAGCTAATCTATCTTTAATGTGGGCTGGTTCTCTCCTTCTTAGGAAGCCTAGTGGCTCTCTCTCCTAGGTACTTACCATGTTGGTGCTCTACAATACAGGCACTCTGTTGGTTTAGCCCACTGAATCTCATAACTCACCATCCTTAGTCTCCCTGGTAATAGGGATTACAGATGTATGCTACCATGCCTGGCTATGTCCTTCTTGCCAATACTCTATGCTGCTGGATGTTAATAATCCCCACTTTCTCTTGACCTGCTCACAACTCCATCCTTTAATAAAGTGCTATCCTCTGGCCTGAGGCATGATTAGAGTCTGGGCACACAATGAAGGCTCACTCTGGGGAAATCACTGCCATTGGCCATTGCCCTGTTCTCTGAGGTTTATGGCCTGGCCTAAGTAGGCCTCTGGTTCTGGATAGGAGAGAGTACAAGGAAGCTGATGTAGGCTTCTGAGGGATGGCTATTTCCCTCAAATAAATTGCCTCCCTAAAGCCCAGAGTACAATCTCTAAGGCTTTTGAATTTTAGAATTGACTGTTATTTCAATACTTCCTTTTACTTTAAAAAAATTAAATTACTTAAGCACTATTCTTTGGATAGGTGAATGAGGGTAGGACGAAAGTGAGTTTCAGGGTCTGATTCCCCTGGCACACATAGCATTAGCTCATCAATCAACAAACATCTATTAAGTGCCTACTGTGTGCCAGCCACTGTGCTATGTCAGAATCATAGCTCCAGAGTTAGAAGAAACCTTAGAAGCCATACATATAGTCCAGCATTCTCCACCAACATTCCATTCTACAGATGAAGTCTCAGGAAGATTAAGTGACCCATGCAAAGTAGTAAGTAGCTGAGGTCAGATTTGAAGCTGGGTCATCTGCACCTTCACTGTGAGCACACAAAGGACTTGCAAACAGCAGCATATATTCTCCATGAGTTCCCAAGCCCATGGACTATATTTTCAGATGCCAATATTTACTGGGGAAATCTTTCTAAAGTCCCACATACCTTATTTCTAATTAGCTCAGGGAGTGAAAATGGACCTTCTATTCCCTTCCAAAGTAAGAATCATTGACTACCCTCAACACAAGAAAACATACGAACTAAAATCGAGTCATTAAATCTTCATAGGGAGAGATATGTTTACTAAACTTTGCTGATGCTCATTTCTCTGCAGGGATGCCTGGAGTCTCAGAGAAAAGAGCCATTCCTTCAACTGCAGGTCCTTGGTGTCCATAATCCCCAGGACTTCTCCCTCTTCCTTTTCAGTTAAGCACAGGGTTCTGATGGGGCCACCAGCTAAGGGGGCACTGGATAGAATAAAACAGTGAAGAAATATTCTCTCTCCTTGCTGCTCAATCCTCCCTTCCATCTACACTTTTTTCTTCTGAAAAAGGAGCAAGACTATAGAGGGCACAGCCAGTGCCTTATTCTTGCCTGAGAAGTAGAGTAAATGGGCCAAACCAGGGATGTGCTATAGCCGGCTCATACAGGCTTTCGAAAGCCCATTGTTAAATTTTTCAGGGTGAGCATTTACATCTCAGAAATCAGCCAATGCTGCAAATCAGGGATTGATTTATGGCTTTGTTGATTGTCTAGATCTAAGAAAGTGATGGAGAAAGTGTTAATAATTCAGATTAAATTTAGAAGCGTGTCAAAAGTAACATACTAAATGTGTGTAATGTTTGTGAATGTAAAAGATATTTAGGTTACTTATCAAACAGCTATAGAATTGTAATGTTGAAAATTAGATGTAGGAAATAGGATCATTATTGGTGTTTAGAAAAGTAGGCAAAAATATTTAGTAATTCAGTTAGAGTATGGATCAAAAGTCCTCCAAAGCAATTTAAATGTTGCGCAACAAATAAACGTCTTTTACATGCACATAACACAAAAGCATGTCTTTTCAGAGAACTGGTTGTTAAATATCTATCAACACATTCTAGTCTAAGACCACAATGACCTATGACAGGAGCAGAATTTGGTGTTCAGGATGCATTTATCACAAAAATAAGTTAGCATCTTATTGAAGCAATTTCAAGGCAGTTTTTCTTAAAGCTATTTTTTGTTAAAACAATAGGAATCCACATGTTCTGACCAGAAAAGCAGACAAGGCTAGGCACAGAGAAATCTGAATTTTATTTACTTGTCTGCCAACGATTTAGTCAATCATCAGTCAACAAGCATTTACCAATTGCTTTCTGTGGTCCAGGCATTGTGTTAATCACTGGGGAAACAAAGAAAGGCAAAAACAGTCCTTATCCTTAAGAAGCTCACATTGTAATGGGCGGGGTAAGAGTGGGGTGAGAAGATTATGAGTGAAAAATGAGGTACTAACATTTAAATCCCCTAAACCTCAGTTTCTCCATCTGCAAATGGGTATACATGTCCTATTTATCTTGTGAGCTTAAAATACCATAGTGGGCATGAATGTGCCAAGGGACAAAAAAGCAAGATGTTATTTACAAGGTATTTTTACTTTGCAGGGCAGTAGGTAAAGAGAATTGAAGACGAATCTTAGAAGTGAATAAATAATTTTGAGCATTTTAAATACACAAAAATAAAGGACGTATGAAGAAAGACCCTATCTGTATGCAGAGAAAGATCTCATAAGTAGAAGTATGTATAGAATAATTTTACATATACATACATACACATGCATACATGTGTGTATGTATGTATGTGTGTGTGTATATACATATATATATATACATATATATATATACCTATTTGTGTTTAATGGTAACTATCTGGGGGGAAGGAAAAATAAAAAAAATACATGATAACTTTATTATACATTTAAAATAAATAGCAAATTGCACATAATAGTTTTGTAGTTTCATGTGCAATCATCTTTTTTTAATTATACTATGTTATGAAAATGCTTGTTTTATTCTATAAAGTTAAAAAAAAAAAGAAACCAAGAGACCTGGGTCTAAATCCCACATCTGGCAAATCCGGACTGTTACTATAATAAAAGCCACTTAGCATCTTTCTCTAGGCAGCTCTATGAGGAAAGAGGAATAAGTCACATATCATTGGTGGAGGGTTCTTCCAACATGTGGAGTTCCCTAAACGCTTGAAAGAAATCACAGATCTGTCTGCTTCCTTCCTGCTCCACAAAATAAAAAAAAAAGCTATAAAATAAAAACTTTCAGTGAGACTAAAGTCCTTTGTTTTCCCCTCTTCCTCCTATTTCAAAGGTCCTGTCCCACCACCATTTTTCTGTGCAAAGAGAGCTGATTTGTGCTCCTTCTAAGTAAGCTGACTCAGGCTCACTTGCAAACCTGGGGGAAATGAGCCTCCATCTACAATATAGTTCCGTAGTTCCTACAGGCAGCCCAGCAAGAGTTTCAAATGAATCTTTTATTTCTAGTCCAAACTTTCTTTTGTGAACATTTACCCTCCTATTATTCATTTATTCACCAAACAAACTCCTCAGCAGCTCCAAGGTCTCATTGTGTCTCCGTGCATTTATTCTATGGTATCAAAGGTTAAAACTTGGATTGCAATCTGAGGAGGAAATTAATTCACTGATTAAAAAAAAAAACTGCAGTTTAAGCAACACACATTTAAATATCTGACAAGCATGAGGAGATGTATTTCTGATAAAAAAAATCCTCTTTTCCCCATTTAAAATTTAAAACAGCTGCAATTTCTTCCACCCTATAGAGCCAAGGGAAACAGCATGAATTCTTAAGCAGGGAGCTCGGCTCTGCACTGCAGTGACCACTTCTAGAACAAAAGAATAAAAGCCTGCACTGGCAAAACACCCTCTTGTCAACTGGTTGCTCAAGGCACAGCTGTACCTTGTTTCTATTGGAAACTGGGGTGGGGGTGGGGGTGAGGGGGTGTTTGCTCCATCTTTGATTTAGGAACTTAGTGCTCTAAATGGTCTTCAAAAGATGGAATTATGTACACTCATTACTGTATAATCTTCCAGCCAAGAAAAGAAAATAAAAAAATAACAATCACTACAACAACAACTACCCACCGAATTCACAAATTAATTAGTGCCCAGAAGCTCTTATGGCCGATTCAATGACCTATGGAACAACTGAAAGATTTAATTTCCAGTTTAATAGGCTTTCACATAATCCCTTTGGTCAGCGTTAGATGGGGGATGGGATGGGACAAGCCCCTGGAGAAGAGATGCCCCACTTTCCCTCCTCTGCACTCCCCACTCCAGAGCCCTCAGAAAGGGTTCCCAGCCTACCAGAAAGGGGAGATGGAGGTGGAAATGGGAGATGGGATAGTCAGAAGAAAAATGGCATCTTTGTCCTTACTAAGGAAATTCAACTTTCTTCCTGCCTTAGCTTGTACTGAGGTACATGGAGGAGTCATATGACCTACCTATCTTTAAATGACCTGCATAAAGGAAGATACTCGAACTATGGTTTCCCAAAGCAGAAGGGAGGTAGAGTCTTAAGTAAAGACAGGAAAGAAAGGCATTAGATGAGTTTGGGGAAAAGGAGGAGGGGCTCAGGTATCTTTCTGGATTTGCTGATTTTTTTTTCTTTTGCTCTCCTCACCTTTTGGTCCAGGTAAAACTGTGTGTGTGGAGCAGACGTCAGGAGGAGGGCGGCTGTCAACGTTGAGACAGAGGATCTGATTTTGGAAAAGGAACACCAAGAGGAGGGTGAGTGTATGCCTTCCCAGTTGGGCTCCCAAGCCATTCATCTCTGTGGTCCCTCAAGAAGCAGTGCTCAGATGTTCCAAACAAACAGCTTTATTTTAAAAATAAAACCTTCTGCTTTCGGGAAGAAAATGAAGTATTTGGAGCTTGCATTCCCAAGGGACTCAAAGAAACAAGAAACTGGGATACCCTGGATTGTTTACTTTCTCAGTTTTCCACAGAGATCATACACTGTCCAGACTGTTTGTTTTAAAGTGACAACTGTTTATTGTAATCTATCTCAAAACTGTAAGATAATAGCTCTGCTCAAAAGAAATGTTTCAGGGAATGTAGGCCCTAGTTTTGCTTTCTGTTGTTGGGCCCTGAGATCTCAAATGCCGACATGTGAGTGTGAGGGGTTATTCCAGCCGTTATATGTATCTTGTTTATGTTTAAGCAAATGAACTTGTGTCCTTTAAAATAGTTTGTGGATGTGTCATTGCTGAGAGACTCTTCATGAGAGAACACGTAATTTGTTTACTTTAACCACCGATCATGATAGATTTGCCTACTGATGTTGGTTTTTCTCATTGTTAACTTAATTCCATGTGACATCTTGGCACTGGGTTGAGAGATTGGAATCCTGGGTTCTAGTCTGAGCTTTGCTCCTCACCAGCTGTGTGACCTTGGAAATATAAAAAATGAAGACTCTGGACAGAAATCATAGAGTGGGAAGCAAACTTAAATACCATCTAGATGTAACCCCCTTATGGATGAGGAAACTGAGATCCAGAGAATTGAAACACTTGTCTAGGTCACACAGGGAGTAAATGGCAGACCTGGGAGCTGAACCCAGGTCATCTGACTCCAAATTCAGTGCTCTTTCCACATGCTACTCACATAGATTATGTCTTGTGCTGAGTCCAAATGGAGGTCCTACTCATGGGTAATCCTACTCATGATCTTTGCCCTTACTAAGGAAGTTTAGCTTTCAATATTTTTGCAGATGCCATTGTGCTAATTGCATCCAGTCCCAGAATACTAAAAAGCTTACTCAGTGAAGTCCAGGGCCACTCAGAATACTCCTAAAGTCCCTTTCAGTTAGAAGATGAAATGGTTTTAAGACCATGCCTGTCCCTGGCCCCTTTGCTGCTTCCTGCCACAGGGTGCAAAAATTGTTAGTTATGCCTCTGGTCAAAAGATCTGGGTTCTTGTCCTAGGTTTTCCATTAAGTAGCTTTGTGACTTTTGGCAGCTACAATCACTTAACTCAATGGTATCAAACTCAAATAGAAACAAGAGCCACTAATCCATATATAAGGATCCCTACAGATTGCATATTGACTTAGTTTTAAATTGTATTATCTATGTTTTAACTGAATTTTTATTTATTTTGTTAAATATTTCTCAATTACATTTTAATATGGTTCTTCCTGGTCTTGGGAGTGTTGTGGGCTGCATATAGCCCATTCTGCATATTTGATACCTCTGATTTAACCTTTCTGGGTCTCAGCTATAAAATGAGTTGAACTGGGTCAAAATAGCACATCAAAAAGATGTCGTAGGTACTTTTTTCTATACAGAACAATGTGCTACGTTCTGGAAAAAAACATGAATTAGACATTTTCTTAGTCTCTGTTCTCACGGAATGACCCAGTAGGCTAACTCCCATGCTTAGATTTAAAAAAATAAAAAAAAAAACTTTTGAGGAAAAAATAAATGGAGAGAAGGCAGCATGTTTCTATACAGCACTGGTTCTCAGACTCAGGTCAGCACCTAAAATAACAGTTATCATATGTCTTAAAGAATACTCAAAAAAAAAAAGGTTTTGGTGCATTTCATGTAGAATCACAGAATGATAGAATTTTAGGGTTGGAAATGATTGCAGTGGTCAGCTAGTCCAACTCAAATAAGAAAAGGAAAGACTAGCACATCCTCATTCCTGAAGGCTCCATATCCGTAAGGATCCATACCCATAAGGATCCATATCGTTAAGGAGCCTAAGATTGCTTTAACCTTTTTTGGCTGCCGCATCATATTTTGCTTGTAGTCCACTCAAAACCTCAGATCTTTGTCAGACAGATTGATAACTATGATAAAGGTCACACCTATTCTGGATTTGTGAAGTTGATTTTCTTAAGCCCACCATTGTAGTATTACATTCGTCCTTCTTGAAACTCATCTTATTAAATGAAGCCCAATACTCTAATCCACCTTTTTGGATCCCACCTCTGTCCCTTAGTGTGTTCTCTCTGCCTCAAAGCTTTGTGCCATCTTCAAACTTGGTGAACATGCCATCTATACCTTTATCCAAGTCATTGATAAAAATGCTAAACATCACAGGACTAATCACAGGTCTGGGGAACACTCCATTGGAGAACTTCCTTCCAAGCTGACATTAAAACATTATTGATTCTTCTTTGAATCTGGCCATTCAACCTGTTCTGAACCCACCTAATGGTATTCCTGTCATCTTTATGTATTTCCATATAGCAATCTTAGCAAATATTTTGCTAGGATCCATGCATACTATATTTGCAGGAATCTACTGATTATCAATTTAGTTACCCTACCAAAAAAAAGGAACGCTAGTGCAGTATGATCTATCTTTAGTGAAGTCATTTTGGCTCCTGGTCATCATAAGTTCCCTTGCTAGATGCTCACTAACCAAGTCTTCAATGACCTATTCTAAGAGTTCCCCAGGAATCTAAGACAAGTTCCCTGGCCTATTGTTTGCAGACACTGTTCTAATTGCTTTCATGAAAATCAGGCCAACATTTGCCCTTCTCCAGTTTTGTGGTACCTCTCCCCTTTTACCCAGCTTTTCAAATATCACTGATGATGTCTTAGTAATTGAATCTGCCAGTACCAAAGGCTATGATTCTTCTTGATCAGGTGAATTGAATTCATGAAGGGTAATTTCTTGGGTATCCACTCCCAATATTTTCATAAGGATGAAAGACTAATGGCATCCTTATCAAATTTGCTGATGACACAAGACTTGTAGGAATAGTTAACAGATGGGGTGGAAGAGTCAAGATCCACACAGATCTTAACAGGCTAGATCACAGGGCCTAATGTACATAATATGATCAAATTCAATAAGGTTAAGTTTAAAGTCTTACTCAAGTACTGAAACATATCTGTGATACCATTGACATGGGGATTCTCCCCAGTGACACAGGCAGAACATAAGCTATCTAGACCTGTTTGTCTCATGTAATTTTTGTCCATGTCTTCTCAGAATTTTTACTTTACAAAACAAAACAACAATAGGGTTAACACTCTAAATGCAATAGAAGTCATACCCTTAATTTAAAATAAAAATCAACTTCACAATTTTAATATGCAGTTTGTGTGACTATACAGCAGTTTGTCTGAAAAAGAGTTGGGGTAACATTGTGTGATGATCAACTATGACAGACTTAGCTCTTCTCAGCAATGCAATGATCAAAGAAAATTCCAAAAGACTCATGATAAAAAATGCTGTTCACATCCAGAGAAAGAACTATGGAGTCTGAATACAGATTGAAATATATTATTTTCATTGTCTTTTGTTTTTGTGTTTTTTCCCTTTTATTCTGTTTCTTCTTTTACAACATGACTAATGTTAAAATATGTTTAACATGATTGCACGTGCATAACCTATGTCAGGTTGCTTGCTGTCTTAGGGATGGAGGGAGAAAAATGTGGGACTCAAAATCTTTTAAAAATGAATGTTGAAAACTATCTTTACATATAATTGGAAAAATAAATGTTATTTACAAAAAAGAAAAAGAGCTAGGGTTTTAGTGGACTGCAGACTCTATGCAAGTCAGCCGGGTGAGGAGACAGTCAGAAAAGCTAATGCAGTTTGAGATTGCTTTGAGAGAAGCATCACTTCCAGGGACAAGGAGATATATCAATAGCCCAATATCTACCTGCATTTGATTCTGTTTGAAAACACTTGTTCCATTTGCAATGTTTGCTGGGGCATAGCATCACCAGGTGATACATGTGGATATATCTAAGCAGTTTTTCTATGCCAAATTAAAGGGGCTTACAGGGCGGTCCCATTAAATACTCTGAGAAACTTTGAATTATAGCAAGAGACTGTTGCCAATAGCCAGACAGAGAGTGGAGTCTAGCTCTTTTCACTAGATCTTAAGATTTTTGAGGGCAGGAAACTGCATGAGGTACTAGGGATATGAATGTAGAAACAGCCCACGTGTAAATGGCAACTTATCATATCTTTTTGTCCTCTAGCATTCTTGCCCATATCTTTTTATAAATGACCTCTATAAGATCAGAGGATTATAGATCTAGAACTGGAAAGGACCTCAGGGGCAATCTAGCATGACCCCCTCTTTTTACAGATAAGGACACTGAGACTCTGAAAGGTGATGTAACCCCTATTGCTAGTCATTTTCTTTTTAAAAAAAATAATTTATTTATTCTTAGTTTTCAACATTTACTTCCATAAGATTGTGAATTCCAAATTTTCTCCCCATCTCTCCCCTTCCCCACTCCAAGACAGCATGCAACTTGATATAGGTTCTACATATACATTTATATTGAACCTATTTTCACATTAGTCACGTTGTAAAGAAGAATTAGAACCAATGGGAGAGACCACTAGAAAGAAGAAACAAACAAAAAAAAAAGAAAGAGAGCAAATAATATGCTTCGATCTGCATTCAGACTCCACAGTTCTTTTTCTGGATGTGGACAATATTTTCCATCATGAGTCCTTTGGAATTGTATTGGATCCTTGCATTACTAGGAAGAAATGTCTATCAAAGTTAGTCATCACACAATTCTTAGCATAGTGCATGGCATATAGTAGGTGCTTAATAAATGCTTATTGACTGACTAGTTGAAATAGGTCATAGTAACCACAAATGGCGGAGTTGGAAGGTCTTATTTCATTAAAATCCAGTGTGCTTCACATCACATCATTCTGCCTCTATGATATCCTATGCCACTTCTCATGTATAAACATAATTGGTAATATGTGGCAACTCCCTTATATTCCCCACCCTTCTTTACGCTGTCCTTTGAATCATGGGCAATTTTAAGTCTACTGAGATCACAGTGCTTGATGCTTCCCAGTCATATAGCACTAGTAGGAAAATATTCATGTTGAAGACATGGACTTTTGAAGCAGAAAGTAGCCATGAAACACACTCATATTATATTTTTATTGATTACTGAATAAAAG